CTTACTGCATTTCATCTCTGGACACTGCCATCCACTTAAACATCCAGGATAAATGCTCCTCTCTTTTCCTCATTCCTCCCCTTCAAGCAGTCACCACTCACCAATCCAGCACTGCCGTGTTTCTCCAGTCATTCTCTTTTTCTCCATCTCCACTACCTTGCTCTGGCTCCCATCACTTTCTCACTGGAACCATTCTCAGTTCTCTCAACCCTCAGATCACCAGTGTCACACTGGACTCCAAGCTATCAGTCTCAGCCCTCTCCAGAGCAGCCTTTACTCAGCTGTCATTTTGCATTGTCCTTTCTCTCCACAGGCACATCCAATAATTCACACTCTTGAATACTGACCTTCACAACTCTTTTACTAGGTCCTATAATAGGATCAAAACTCTTTTCTTAGCATGGGTTACCAGGCCTTTCACACAGGCCTTGACTAGCTTCTGTAGACACTTCTACTTTAACAACAAAATCACCATATCCCATAGTCCATCCTCACAGGCTTCCTTAACATTTCTCAAGCATGCCACCATGTTCAGTATCTCTCAGGCCTCTGCACCTTTGAGCATTCTATTCTTGCCACCCAGGTATGAACCAACCCCTGCCCTCTGTCTTTATGGCCGACTGATCATTTACCTTCTGGGGCAGCTCCTCCAAGTGCAGGTCAGGGCTCCTTCCATTGCATTTCCAGAGCCCTTTGTTTACGGGCAGTTCAGTCAGTGGAGTGTTTATGAGCCAGATGCTGAGCTACGTTCTAGGGGTACAAAGAAGACAGTCCTGCCACAAAGGAGCTGACTTTCAACTAGCAGAGAAAGACATAAGTGTAAATAGCATATACATTTGTGTATTTTTTTTTTAAAAAAATCAATGTTACGAAGCACAATAGGTGCTATAGAAGTGTGAGCAGGACACAGTGGACAATAAGCAATGCAGGGAGCAGTTCATTCTACCTGTGAGAAGAAATTGGAGGAGAGGAACCTAAGGAAATGTATCATGAAGGAGCTAACCCTCGGGGAGGGGAACGAGGAGAGGATATCCCAGCAAAGTCCTGGCACGGTGGAACAGCACGTCATGTGTAGGGAAAAGCAATTGGTTCTCTACGGCCGATCTTTGACATTAACATTGATGCAGTTAGACAAGAGGTCAGAGAACAAGGAGGAGGATTTACCTGGCAGGCAATGAGGGGCCACTGCAGGGTTTCAAGCAGGGACAGATGAAATGTTCCAATTTCTATTTTTAGGGAGATCTTTCTAACAACAGTATACTGAGCACAGTATAATGCTTTGGGAGGGGAAGTTATATATCCACTCTCCCTATTAGATTTTGAGCTCCCTGATGTCAAGTTTTATGTCTCTTTCATTTTTACCTTCTCATGCCTAACACACTCATTGACCAAGCAATGAGAGAAGCTACCCGACGTCAGTGCTGGAGTGTGGATTGAGAGTCGGGGAGGCGAGCTCGAGGCCAGCTGGGCTTTGGTCTCTTCAGCTATAAAATGGTGGCTTATTCAAGACCATCTGTCAGTTCTCTTTTTCCCTAACATTCTGTAATCCTATAAGGGAGGTTCCTTTTTTTTGAAAGTTTGCAATCAATATTTGGTAATACAAATAACAAATCTGTCTCCAGTTTATAGAGATGAGTGTCAAGAACTTAGTGCACCATGAAGCACAAGTTGACCCAAAGGTTATATAAATCATTCTCTGAATAGTGAGCAATGATTCCAGTTAAATTATTCACACGGTAAAAGGACGGGTTCTTCCTGCTGAAGGGGTTCAGAATTGACTCCTCAAACGTTTATTCTTTTTTTTTTTTTTGAGAAAAATAAACAGAACATAGATTATTATTATAAGCCTTTAAGCGAAAAGACAAATGCATTTGGAAAACATTAGAAGCTTGAGGGAAACCCGAGCTTGATCCACCTTAAATTAGTCAGTTCTCCCTTATTAGCTCAGCAGAATACACAGAGCTCTATTCGTTTCTCCAGGTCCCTTTCATTGTATATCTTTGACTTAGTAGTATATACGCTCACATTTCTCCTTCATCGGTGGAACGTTGGCCTGATGGCTAGAATTTAAAATTCAGGATTTCTAGGAAAAGAGCCAATTTCTACTGGGGGTAGAGGTGAGGGGGGAAGCAAAGATTTCTCTTAGCCTCTCTTCTGTTTGATCTCTATCCTGCTGAGACTATAGCTTTCAACTAGCTTTCAATAAAACAGCTTTTTTTGGCTGAAATGATTTTACTATCTTTTATCCAGAGGGCTTTCTTTTTTAATTTTATTGAAGTAACTCATGAACATAGTTTTAGAAATCTAATAGTAATTCCCATTCTTCCTAAGTTCTATCATAATTATTGAGTAAATCAACACTCAGAGTTTACATGCTTATGACTATGTCCATTTTTTTTCTCTTTTTTTGCTGAGCTACGTAGAATAGCATATGTTCTCTTTCTTATTCAAAGTTTTTTTTTATTTCTTGATTGATTTCAGAGAGGAAGGGAGAAGGAGAGAGAGATAGAAACATCAATGATGAGAGAGAATCATTGATTGGCTGCCTCCTGCACATCCCCTACTGGGGAACGAGCCCGCAACCCAGGCATGTGCCCTCAGCCGGAATCGAACCTGGGACCCTTCAGTCCGCAGGCTGATGCTCTATCCACTGAGCCAAGCCGGCTAGGGCTCTTATTCAAAGTTTTAAAATATTCCTGGAGTTATTAATTGATACTCTAATTTTTTTCTTAATTTATTCAGTGATTAAATACTTCAATAGCTCTGTAACATGCCTCTCGATTCTATTTTCCTCACAATTAAGTACGTTAGTTTTGTGTGTGTTTTTTTATCCAGAAGATCTCCCTGGAGCCTTTCCTTCTCATATTCCAACCTGGATTGCTTGCTTTCTAGGCCTCCTGTTTTTCTTAATTAAAAGAAACATCAAATTAAATTAATTTTTTTAAATTAAAAGTTTCCTCCATATACTCTTCTACTATCATCTCTCTCCACTGATATTGGAATATAATTATTTAAACCTAATTTATTAGAGATTTTGCTTTTAAACTTTAATGTCATAGTAGCCTTTTCCCAAGAAATACTAGTAACATTCACTATCTAGTACTGAGCTCAAATATATAAATTATCTAATTTCTTAATATACTATCTATTCTCACTTTGACCATATTCTCATACATAAACAATGTCCCTGGGCTCCTTTTTACCATAAAACATAGCTGATGCCTTTGTACCCGGCCACAACTTCACAGAATGACTTATAGACCAGCTAAAGTAGCCTGGAAGCGATTCAACAAAATGGAGCCTCCTTTAAAACAAGCCTTTGGGAGAGGAAAAGAGGCCTGTTGAGTAGTTTGGTGGACACAAAAAGAAAGACAGTGGTGACACCACCCTTCCCTGATTCTCTCACACAGGCTCATGCTCTAGGTGGGCGGGTGAAGCCTGTGATGCTGGTAACCCCTTGGGCTTGGGCTTAGCTGAGCATGGACTCTGTTTTCAGTTGCTTGGCTTGTTCTTGGATGAGCTAACAGGGTGGATTCGGGTCTCACCATGTCATCTAAACAAACAAGTTGTGTAGTTTAGCAGTTTCGCCTCCAGAGAGGGCCTTGGCCTTCTAACCATGCTCCGGTACTAAAGAAGAGACAGGACTGTTCTTGACTGTCCATCTCCTCCAGGCTGTTATTCTTAAGGGGTTTATTCTCATTGGCTCATTTACCCCTAAATCCACTAAGAGCATCTTTGTTTTCATTTGTTGAACTGCATCTGAAATATTTGGGGGTATAAGGTTAACAGTCCTTAGGAATCAAAAAACTCTGGCCAGGTCCTTATCATATGATAGAAAGTTCTAAAATTCACAGCAAATTCTGAACCAAAATGCACTATTTGAAACTTAAGCTGGATATAATTTTAGCTTCTCTTTTATCTCTTGAAGAAAGTAAAAATAACACTCAATAGGAAAATTCCCAATAAAAGGGGTGTATATCCTGTTCCTTTCCTTATCTCCAAAATGAGATAATTATTAAAAAAATTTAATATCCTATGCAAGAAATAATAACAGGAAGGAGAGGTGTGGCCACTCCAGATGAGTTTCTCTTCCCCACCCTAGACCTAGTAGAACCTGGAGAAAATAATGTAAGAGTTACTGAAATACTAAAATATAACAAATTAATACAGAGTCTAAATGCTTTTCCATCCACTTCTTTTTGCTGATCTTTCCCTAAGGGTATCACATGTGAAAAGGCTAGCCTTATATCAAACCTGAGAGAAATGAGAGGGAATTGTGTACGAACTTCAGAAAATGGCAGATAAGAAAAATGAAAGGAATTTGGGAGGGATCCAAGATGGCAGCAGAGTAGGTGGAAGTTACATTTACCTCCTCCCAAAACCAAATCAGAATGACAACTAAGTTACAGAACAATCAACCAAATAACCAACTGAAGACTAGCTGAACAGAAGTCTTATAACCAAGGATTTATAGAAGAAGCCACCCTGAGACTGGACCTGTGGAAAGGGCTGGCCCTGCACCCACATGGGGCAGCTGAGAATCTGGTTGAGAATTGGAGGGATACCTCAGCTGCAAAAGTGCACTCTGGAAGAGTGAGGACTCTCAACCCCATGCTGGGCTTCCCAGCCTACAGCATCAACACTGAGAAGAAAAGCCTATGTAACATCTGGCTGTGAAAATCAGCTGGGATTTTGTTCACAAGGGTGAGATGGGAGATTGCTGAAAGCCCAGGTGCCCTCTTAAAGGACCAGCACACAAGATCTAGTTCACAGGTATTCATTTACCTTGGGCTCCAGCAGAAGGATGGAGGCTCAGAGAGGACTGGAGTCATACAAGGAGAGACTGGGTTGTGTGGCTTTGGGGAGAGGGCTAGAGCAGTGGTTCTCAACCTTCTGGCCCTTTAAATACAGTTCCTCATGTTGTGACCCAACCATAAAATTATTTTTGTTGCTACTTCATAACTGTAATGTTGCTACTGTTATGAATTGTAATGTAAATATCTTATATGCAGGATGATCGTAGGCGACCCCTGTGAAAGGGTCATTCGACCGCCAAAGGGGTCACGACCCACAGGTTGAGAACCGCTGGGATAGAGGGACAGCTGCCAATGTCCATGTGCTGAGTCCCTCTCTTACGCTACTCACAGATGCCATCTTTCCTGGGTCAAGCATTCCCCTCCATATGGCATCAGCCTCGGGGAATGCGCTTGCCCCACCCTCTCGACTCCCAGTGGCCCTGCCCTGCCAAGCTCTTGCCCTATGGAGGAGTCTGCTGGCTGCAACCAGCCTGGGCCTGCTTTGCAGTTTTTCTTGGAAGGCTCTCAAGGAGGTTCGGGCAGACTTGGGAGGTGATAGAGACACACAGGAAGAGACTGAGTTGTGTGACTTTGGGGCGAGGGCCATTTTCCCCTGCATGCCCCGAGCAGTGCCACTGTTCCTGTACAAAGCCCTCTCTCCATAGGGCCAAATCTTAATCTCTTTTAGCCTGATGAACTCTGCTGGCACCAGCCAGATGACTCCCTGAGACCCTGGCCCACTGCAAAAATCCACAGGCCCCAGGCAGGTGGCAGCCGGCCTTGATGAATCCTGAGACTTTTGCCGAGTTTGAATCTACATCAACGCAGTGAACACCACTCACCCCTACCTGGTGACACTGAAACTGCCTCACAAATCTCAGGTACCGCCAGAGGCTCTTTCATTGGCTGAGCCTAACAGGAGCCGGGAGGTGGAGGAGAATCGCAGGGTGCCTTGGGCATTTTGCTGACCTGCCCCAGGCGCAGTACTGACAGAAGGCTGCTTCAGTAGACAGCTTGGCCCCTCTCATGCACACCCAGGTCCGGAATAGGCAGCCACCAATGTGGATCACATTGTGGCTCCTAATAGGTGGCCCAGAGCTTGTCATAAGCAGCATCTGACATTGACCTGCACTGGAGTCCTTCCTGAGAGGCACCAAAATCAATACCTCCAGTGGCTGGCTTCAGTGTAAAAGAGCACGACCTTATTAACTCTACAGGTAGCAAACCAAAAGGGAGATCTTGGCAGGCGCCAGAACCTGCTAGAATAAATTCCACTTCATGGGGTCAGCTCCTACACAGCAGCTCATGGTCGGCATCAGTCCTCACAGCCAGCCAGCCTGAGGGCCCAAACCACCCACAGATGGGCCAGAAGCAGTTCCAGCAAGATCTTTGGCCATCAAATGAAATAATAAATAAATAAATAAATAAATAAATAAATAAATAAATAAATAAATAGATGGTCATTTGGTTATAAGATCTAGGATATAGGATTTCAGTTATACTTTTCTAAGATAGTCAGATAAATCATTGGTTAATCAAGGGTTATATGAGAACTATGTGATTGTTTCTTTAATATATAATTAAAGAATCACAATATATTATTTTTAGAACTGCATTTTAGGTCCTCACTTGTTTTATAAATGAAGAGTTGATATCTTATTAGAAAAAAAAGGGGGGGACACTAAAGATGTGATCTTTAAACTCCTAGCCCACTTTACTGTTTTACCAGGTAATGCATTTTTATTCAAGGTGAAGAAAATAGAATGTATAGAATTAGAATACTAAACTTAGCAGAAAGTAAAAATAAAATGAAAGGTACCTTTTGCTATCTAGGAAGATTTTAATGACTATAAATAAACAAATGTTATGATCTTATTGAATATCAACTTCATTGGTATGTAGGTTGCTTTCGAATACTGGCAACTGGTACCTGTTAAAAACAGGTTGTGGAATGCTGGCCCAGCTTATGTAAGAATGGCCCTACACTACTGAAGAAATAATGACAGAAAGTAACTCTAGTCCTAACCGGTTTGGCTCAGTGGGTAGAGCGTCGGCCTGCGGACCGAAGCGTCCCAGGTTCGATTCCAGTCAAGGGCATGTACCTTGGTTGCGGGCACATCCCCAGTAGGAGGTGTGCAGGAGGCAGCTGATCGATGTTTCTTTCTCATCGATGTTTCTAACTCTCTATTCCTCTCCCTTCCTCTCTGTAAAAAATCAATAATATATATATATTTTTTAAAAAGACAGTAACTCTACACTTATTTTGCTTCTTGTGAAAAAGAGGGCAGAAAACGATGATTTAAAAAAATAAGCTCGTCACTTTGTTTTAGAAACAAAGGTAACAAATTTTGAGTACCAAACATTTAAACAGCTAAGGGTTGTTTTAACAAACCATTTACTGGGAGATATATACTGAGATAACTGAGTCTACAGAGCCAAGGCAGCATGGTGGCTGCAAGAGTCAGATTGTCTGGTTGTGAATTCTGACTCCCACTCTCTAGTCATGAGGTCTTGAACAAGTTACTTTCTGCACTTCAGTGTCCTCACCTGTAAGATGGAAACAATAATGACGCATATGTCAGAGTTTTGTGATGTTTGAATCAGTTAATATGTGTAAAATGATTAGAAAAGTGCCTGGCACAGAGTAAGCACTTCAGAAACGTTCAGATTTAATTACACTGATTAAAATTCTTCATAACTATGAATGGCCTGAGATTTTAATGGGGTATAGGACTGAGACTGAAGTAATATAGACCACAGATCTAGAAAGTTTAAAAAGTGGATCCTTCTATATCCCAGGATCCTTGTTTACGTTAGAGCAGAGATTGGAATCTTTTCATCTAGAACCTATACCTATAAACATGTAGCCAAAATTAAATACAGTTGAAAAGTGAACTTCTATTTTGGCTCCTACTCTTGTTCTTTCTCCTATTTTTTCCCCCTTTTCTACTGGTATAACATTTTTTTCCTCAATTAATATAATTTGAGTTCCAGTTATAGTAAAGCCACAGGCTAGATTCTGTATAGTGTCAATCACATACATGTTTCAGAGTTAAATAAACTACTATAGAAATCTTAGAACATGTACAACATTGTTACTAGGGAAAACACATTCCACAATGGCAAATCATTGTTTAAGAATTCATCTCCAGAGAGATTTGAAGATGGCAGTGTAGGAAAAGGCTGTACTCACCGCCTCCCATAACCACATCAGAATTACAACTAAAATACAGAACAACCATCATACAGAGCCGCGAGAAAGCTGGCTGAATAGAGGTCCTACAACTAGAGAAATAAAGAAGAAAGCACACAGAGACTGGTAGGAAATGTGAAGGCACAGAACGGGCTGGTCGAGCACCCACGTATGCTGCTTTTTTTAAGCGGGAGGGAGATCATCTCTGGGGAAGCTGCCTGGAGAAGCAAGGGGTCCCAGCTCCACACCAGGCAGTAAGAACCATGGGCTGTAAAAACCAGTGCAGATTGGGGCTCACTGACACAGAGGTTGCTGGAGACCCAGCTGTTCCCCTTAAAAGGCTGGCACCAAGAAATAAACTTACAAAATCCTGCTTCCTTTGAGCTCCAGCACAGGTTGAGCCTCTGGGGCACACAGACACATACAAGGAGGAACTGGATTGTCTGGCATCAGGGCAGGAACTCTGGGGCAGCTTTCTCCCAGACGGAGGTGTTCACAGGAATCATTGTTTCTATGCTGGGACCTCCCAGGGCTGACTGGTGGCCATTCCTGTTTGTTCTACTCTGGTGATTCCCTAAGACCCCGCCTCATCCAATTTACAACCCCACCCCAGCTGTTTGCAATGGCTTTGGCATATGAATTGCCTGTCTTTGCTCAGGCTTAATTTTCTCAAACAAGCTGCAGCTGGGTCAGGGAGCCTCAAACCTATCAATAAAAGACCCAAGACCTGGCACCAGCACCAGCACCAGCCTGCCTTGCTTCATAGCTGGGCCTCATCTGGGCACTTCCAAACTTGATACAAGAGGAGGAATCTGCATATCTCTCTGTAGCTCCTGCTGGGTGGCCTCAGGCAGTGGCTAACTTTGCACTTCCCTGGAGACCCAAGAGCCAGTATACCCAGTTATCAGCATCAGACCATACCAGATTACAACTCTACACATCCATAAGCCACACACTCAAGGGTAAGATTCAGTGAACACCAAAGCTCCACTGAAGCAAGTCCTGCTCCATAGGGGTGTCTCCTGCACAGCAGCTCTCTCACTGTAGTCACAGCTGGTCCTCATAGCCAATTGGCCTGGAGGTCAATTCCTCCCAGTGACACCAGCAGCAAAAAAGGCTCAACTACAATAAGACTGTGCTCCTAACCCAGAAAGGGGTGCACCTAGAGCTCCCAGCTCAGATGACTGGGGAGGCTGAGCCACTGGGCCCTATAGAATACCTACTACACAAGGCCACTCAACCAACTCAAGGAGACATAGCAGCTCTACCCAAAACATAGAAATAAACACAGGGATGCATCCAAAATGTGGAGACAAAAAAACATGTCACAAATGAAAGAAATGGAAGAAAGCAAACTACTGGACGTAGAGTTCAAAACCATGGTTATAAGGTTATTCAAGAATCTTTTAGAAATCTCCCCCAAAATGGAAAAGCACTAGTCAGAAATTAAGCATACACTGACTGAAATAAAGAATAATATACAGGGATTCAACAGACTAGAGGATTCTGAGAATCAAATCAATGATTTGAAATATGAGGAAGCAAAAAACACTCAACCAGAAGAGCAAAAAGAAACAGAATCCAAAAATATGAAGATAGTGTAAGGAGCCTCTGGGAAAACTTCAAGCGCACCAACATCTGAATTATGGGGGTGCCAGAAGAAGAGAGAGAGCAAGATATTGAAAACCTACTTGAAAAAATAATGACAGAAAACTTCCCCTACGTGGTGAAAGGAAATAGACTTACAAATCCAGGAAGCACAGAGTCCCAAACAAGAGGAATCCAAAGAGGACCACACCAAGACACATCATAATTAAAATGCCAAGGGCTAAAGACAAAGAGAAAATCCTAAAAGCAGCAAGAGAAAGCAGTTAGTTATCTACAAGGGAATGCCCATACGACTGTCAGCTGATTTCTCAATAGAAACTATGCAGGCCGGAAGAGAGTGGCAAGAAATATTCAAAGTGATGAATAGTAAGGACCTACAACCAAGATTACTCTACTCAGCAAAGCTATCATTTAGAATTGAAGATCAGATGAAGAACTTCTTTTCTTTTTCAGACAAGAAAAAGCTAAAGGAGTTCATCACCATCATACCAGTATTATATGAATTGTTGAAGGAGATTCTTTAAGAAGAGGAAGAAAAAGAAAAAGATCAAAATATGAACAACAAAATGGCAACAAATATATACCTATCAACAATTGAATCTAAAAATCAAAATAAATGAATAAGAAATCTAATGAACAGAATAAACTGGTGAATAAAATAGAATCAGAGGTATGGAAATGGAACAGACTGATGATTCTCAGAGGAAAGGGGGTGGAAGGGCGGGAAGAGATTAAACAAAGATCTTATAGGCATTACCTATGGACACAGACAATAAGGTAGCGAAGGCCCGGGGTAGGGTGGGAACCGGGTGGAGGAGGGCAGTGGGGGGGAAAGGGGGACATCTGTAATAATCTCAATAAAGATTTTTTTAAAAAAAGAAAGTCAGTTAAGAAAAAAGAATGCATCTTCATTCTATTTCATAAGTCAAAGGCCTAGGGTTACTGATGACACCATCTCTGTTTCTTCAATTCTCTTTGAGTAATTAAGACAAATTACTTGCCTAGGAGAACAGGGGTGCTCTTGTAGTCAACTTGCAGGCTGGTTGAAATGGCACAAGCCCTAACAGAAGTTCATTGCCAGGTTGCACTTGTGAGTTAAGTGGTTACCAAATGTTGTGCCTTAAAGAGTTCCAGGTGGGATCATGTCTCCAGGGTATCTGCACACTGACCTCTGCTCTCAGAGTAATTTAAAATCCTTACACCCTGCTGGGTCTTCCCCACTGTGATTCATGGTTTGGCGTGTAATAAAGGGGTGATGAATCATGCCCTCTCTCCGATTTGCTGCTGCTTCTACTGAGTGATTTGAAATATAGTTGTTTTATTTATTTATTTTTAAATATGTATTTTTTATTGATTTTAGAGAGGAAGGGAAAGGGAGAGAGAGATAGAAACATAAATGATGAGAGAGAATCATTGATTGGCTGCCTCCTGCACTCCCCACACTGGGGATCCAGCCTACAACTTGGGCATGTGCCCTGAAGGAATCAAACCATGACCTCCTGGTTCATGCTTTGGTGCTCAGTCACTGAGCCATGCTGGTCAGACTGAAATACAGTTGTTTTAGATGATTATCAAGCCCAGCAATTTAGGTACTACACTATTGCTATTAAGACTGAAAATCAAAAGCCTTCCAAAAATATCATAACTGTGTATCTAGAAATTACTCATGAGAAAATACAAAATAGTTAATTTGCTTATCAAATATGTAAAAAACACCCACAAGTTAAGCATAGAAAATACACAGAAATTCCAGGTTCAATATAAATATTGTGTCAGCCAGACCACGCTATCCCCAACCTGAGCTCTCTGCCCCAGCTGATGTCTGCCTCTTGCGGATGCAGCCCTGCGCAATCCTTGGGCCAATGAGAGCCAGATGTCATTCCAATTCTTTCTCCAGAGGAGAGTGGAAAAATCAGGAAATGCCTTATTCGTAGCCCGGTTCCCAGCACTAAGCCCAATACCTGGCACAGTGCCTGGTCTATAAAGAACACTCAGTCAATATTGATTAAGTGAACAAATAGGCCGCCACCCCCATAGCCAGTATCTAGTATGATTTGGGATGGATTTAGCCTCTTGAAGCTCCTTATATGCATTAATCTTGTTTCCCTGCCTGCCTCTCACCATGTGTGGCTGACTATCCCAGCTGACCCTTTGATCCCGTCACCTGGCCCTGGTTTCCTTCCCAAACTGCCCGGGATAATCATAGGATAGTCTGCAGCGCCAGCTGTAGTGGAAAGTGGGGCAGGCCAGACCTTCTTACTTGGGTCCAACGATTCCTTTTCCCTAAGCCAGGCCTGTTTCCAGGGTTTCTTATGTTGCCTGGGAACCTTGTGATTAACAACCCTGAGTCCTAACATTGAGAATCCCCTCTCCCCAAGGCTCTGCTCTGCTTCCTGACTCATTCTTTGGACACTACTGCCAGAATCTTCTCCAGGTTATGACTCAACGTTGACTCTTTTGGCCATAAGGTATTTTACTCTCATCTGTTTTGTGATTGAAATCCAAGTATGAGATCTACATTAATGTATTTTTACCAAAGATTTGCTCAATGCTCCAAAGACTTGAATTTACTTGGTCTGTTCTGTTCTTGGTTTTCAAACAGCCAATCTACTCTTTCTGAAAGAAATTGAAGTTACCTCCCTGTTAGAAGAAATCCTCCTGTCCTCATTTGATTTTATGGGCTGCTTCTAGTATGTGCTGAATTCTGTCTCTCATTTCTAATCAATCTTTACAGTTTCTTTCCTTTCCATTTCTTTCTTTCTTTCTTTCTTTTTTCTGTTCCCATTTCTACCATATCAATTAAGGCTTGTGTTACCTCTTGCCTCAGTTATAGCAATACCTCCTACATGACCTTCTTACTTTTTATACCAGTTCATACTGGCCTCAGCCCTTATTATCTGTGGGGCCTGAAGCAAGTTGCTTTTTCTCTAATCCTTGGTTTCCTCTTCTGTCTAATAGGCATATTCTAGTACATGCCTTGTAGTGGTATGATAAATGTACGCAAATGTTCTGTGTTCCCCCAGGCTATAAATCCAGGTGCTAATTAAAAATCTTAATAGTTCTCATCCTCTCTCAAATATTTCGGGAGACCCACAATACGGATGAACTCAGTGACTACTGAATACTCTGTGCCAGTCACTGATCTGGGTTCTGGGGAGACCGTATAAACACATAGACCTGGACACTGCTCTCATGGTGATAAGTGCAACGGGGAGAAAATTGGGGTGGGTTGTACAAGGGAGTGGGGAAGGGGGTGTTCAGTTTTATACAGGGTGGTCTAATCGAAAAGGTATTGTTTGTGCAAAGCCATTAGTGGGCAGATCTTACCTGTGTTCTTGAATCAGTCATACCATCATTTATTTTTGCAATTAGCTTAGCCAGAAACCATGATGCTGGCTCTGGCAGCACCACGGTGAGCTGGAAGCCCACACCAGTGCCTCCTATGGAGCCCTACATTGTTCTGCTAGTCAACAATGCTTGAGAAAAACAGGAAGTAAGAGAGCCTATTTTTTCAGCACTAGCACTCAAGGTAAAGTAATTACTGAACTGATGTCAGCTACGTTACCTTGCTGCCAAGTTAGACGAAGACTTTTTCTGTCACCACAGCTGACCCCGTGGTGCTGGTTTTGTGGGAAATTTAGGGCTGACTATCCCTGTGATGCTTGTCAGCATCCTCTTTCAAAGTGCAAACGGAAAAGCTCTCTTCTGGGTGCTCCTCTCAGTTACCCCTGCCCCCACCAATAGGCCCTAAGGCATTGCAGAGTTTCATAAAATGGTTCTTTCTATTACACAGAGGTCCTTCTTTGTTTTCTTCTCGAAGACACATACAGGGAAGCTGAGCAAGGCCCTGCCCCATGACAGCCAGACTGGCCATAGCCTTCCAGGACTGAGGTTGACCATTGCAGACTTCTTCCTCAGCAAGCTATGTGCTCCCTGGGGGCCCCATACACCTCCCTACAATCTACCTACCTCTGGAACTCCCCCCAGACATATCTATCCATGACTGAAACCCTACTGCAGCCAGGATTTGAGTTCTCTCCCCCAGCAAACTTCTGAGTACCCTTATAAATCAATGGATGCCAATCATTGCTTGAGGGGGAAGGATATTGTCTTGCTTTTACATCAAAGACATATCTGTCTTAATTCTGGCTCAGCTGGGCCTTTGTATTACACAGTGACTAGAAACACTCTTTATAAAGTGACTGCATGATTCTTCTATAGAGTAGATGCTCAAAAACTAGTAGCTATCATAATTATCTGGGTAGTTGGATTGTGGAAAATAATAAATTTATTCTTTATAATTTTTATTTTTTCAAAACGCTTTACAAAATTATGTATCATATATTCAGAAGCAAATTCTTAAAATTAACACAACTCTTGACACATAGCTGTTTTCTTCCCCTCGTTTTTCATCTAAACTTTTCAGAAGAGGAGTCTTATACTCACTCTTTCCACTTCCTCAACTTGCTTCTATCTGGTTTCACCAACCATCCCTCTAAAATTGCTCTCACCGAAGCCACCAACTATTTCTTAATGTCATTCCCTCAGGAATATGTTAGTGGGCTGGGAAGGGTAGGCACCCTTAAGTAAATGATAACATGGAGCAGATTAGACTTTGAGGCAAGAGGGCAAGAAGTGAGACCATTTCATCCAAGCTAAAAGCATGAGCCAGGGCCAAATCTGAATCCAAACACTCACCTTGTCCCAGAGTCAAGTAGTCTAGTTAGGGGTCAACTCACCTAAGTAGAAGAGGGAGTCCAGAAACAGGCCAACTTCAAACAGGTAACAAGCTGACAAATCAAGGTAGTCCCAGAGGAAGAGTGCAAGGCAATGGCAGGCCAAGAGGAATTCCACACTCAGCAAGTTACCAGCTGCATTTGGCTGGCTCTCCTGGGAATGCCTGATGAAAAGTCCTCATCTACAAAGTCACTGTTCAGAGATGAGAGATGGGCTCCCAGGAGCACTCCTATACTGGATATGTCAACAAAGTGCCTGCCACACCCAACTTCCTCTTCAAGATGAAACTGCCCCACCCACAGCCCCCTGTTCTGAGAAGCAGAGCTAGGTTGTTCTTTAGCCAGGGATGGCTCCTGATTGGACCAGGGATTGGCCTTTGACATGAGTGCTGCCCCTCCAAAAACCAGGGCAAAAATGGAAAAGATGAGTTAAATCAGCTTCAAAAGATGAGGTCAATCAGATTCTCTCCTTCTGGGATTTGAATTGAGAAACATGGAGATAATGAGGTAGCCAGCCATGAAAACTGAAGTTGCAATGGAGTAGGAGCCATGGAGGACTATGGTCAGACAAACCAAAGCTCTGATGAGGCAGAGCAGTAAGATAAGACAGCAGAATTTATAAATAAGCAGCAAGTATGCAGAAGAGAAAAATACATGAAGTGTAAACAGAATTCGTTAGTTGGAATAGGATAGGAAAAAGCAAACCTGCAAAGAGTAGTTGAGAAATGGCATACCACTGTCATGAAGATCTACTAAAGCTACTTTCCTGCCATCCAGATATACTAAAGTCCCTGTGTCTTCATCAGGCCAAACCCAACTTCCTGGGTTCCCTTGCTAATGTTTGTTGGGCTAATGTTTGTTAATGAGGTAGGTGGTTGTAGATGTTTGGTATCTGTCACTGAACAAAACAGGAAAATAGTTATAACAAATCTCTCATTTCTTCAGGTAGGATCTCAGTTTCAAAGGGCCAAATTAAAGTGTGCCTTCATTCTTTCCCATAGTCTCATTGGCGTGGTCAGCCATAGTGTCATAATGAGTCTGCTCCCTCTTGGGAACACAACTCATGTTTATTCCTTCGTCATCATTGGGGGGATGGTTGCATAATCAGGAGGAGAGAAAAGGTTAGAAGCTGAGAGATTGGACATTGAGGAAGGCAGCTAATGTATGAGTGGGCAGCAGAATGGCTGGATGCCCAAGCTTTAAATTAACTGAGGCTCAAAATTTGGCTCGATTACTTACTCATTATTCTTCGGTGAGTCAGTTTTCTCAGCTATAAACTGTAGGTAAAAATAGTATCCTCATTGCACTGTTGTAGGATTCAGTGAGAAAATATATGCAAAGCATTTAGCCCATAGTAACGATAGTTGTTGCTGGTGGTATTATCAACAATCCTCTAGCTTGTGCTTGGGGGACAATTAGATGGCATCCTGTACTCAAACCTTCTCTCTGTACCAGAGCATGGTACATTTATCAAAGTTCCTTCAGTTAGTGCACATCTTCCCAAGTCCTATCTAGCTGCAGAAGTATCAATAGTGTCGGGAAGAAGTGGTGCTCAAAAGTGTAAGGATGAAAACCATTGTTGCACAGGAAAGCAATTGTGGGAGGAGGGAAACAATAAATTCTGAAATCAAAGTCTGTGGCAGCGACACTAGCCAGAGCAGCCAGCTGTGTGGGAGAGGGAGAAGAATACAGGGGTGGTGGGCAGGTGGACGTAGACCTGATAGGTCCAAAGGCTCTGGTTGGAAAGCAGTGCTTTGACAGACCATGGAAGTAGGAACTCTCTTTTACCCCTCAGGATACAGTGACTGGAGTGGATGGAGGAGTAATACAGGGAGGGAAGCATGCCATCTTTATGGAGCTGTCACTGCCAGGACAGTCAGGACTGGGCAGGAGGGCAGACCGAGATGAAAGTCCCAGAGATGGAGTGCTGGAAGCACATGCAGATCATGAGTCACAGCTGCTCTTCAGGAAGCCCGGGTTATCTTTGCTTGAGGTCTAAGTGTTGTCATGGTAGTGTACCAGACACATGTGTCGAGAGGGCCATGGATTGTGTTTTGGTAGCAGAACAGATGGGAAGCTGAGCTGATGCTGCATTCAGGCCTTCCTGACGGGATGCACACCACGCTGCTCATACAGAGACCTTCCCGGTATTTTTACTCCTCTCAGGGATGACTCCAATACTCAAGCCAGAGTGTCCCCGGGGTGAGTCCCTCTGCTGCCCCTTGTCAGGCTTAGAATATCGGCCATTGCTCTGTGGTTCTGTTGCTGCCTGTGTAGCCGATGGAGCACCTGAGTGAGGCACATGAGGTGAGCCACCTGCATAGCATGAGCTGAGCTTCCAGGCTTGTTCAAGGCCACTGCAGACTAAGGTCACTGTCTTGCCTTAGAGCCTTTAGCCCTTGAAGACTTCTTGACAGCAAGCCGCTCTCCTTCCCAAACAGGGATGATAAAGGACAGGGCAGGGCTCCTCCTCAGCCAGGATGGCCCCTCCACAGCTATCCCAGCACCAGTCCCAACAGTGTAAAGTGGAACCAAGTTGGGAGCAGGCTGCCTAGAGTTGGCACACAGGTTAAGAGGATATACCAGCCGTGGGCAAACTACGGCCCGCGGGCCAGAACCAGCCCGTTTGAAATGAATAAAACTAAAAAAAAAAAAAAAAAGACCGTACCCTTTTATGTAATGATGTTTACTTTGAATTTATATTAGTTCACACTAACACTCCATCCATGCTT